AAATCCCTCTGAACGGAATTGGTTATTATTTAAAAATGCAAGAAATAAGGCTACATATACAATCAGAATGGAAAAGCGAAAGTTTTTTTATCTCCAAATTAGACCACTCACTCACATCCTTTGTTTTGTGGCGTAATATTAAAAATATTCGTGTACGTGCACGTAGTGTATCTGATTGTAAGTTAAACGTTGATGTCTTAAATAGTACTTTTATAAAATGTCCTACTGTTGTCCCTCAAGTTAAATTTGTTCCTCTAACCGCTGCTAAATTCGAAGGTCCCTTGTTTAAATTTGTCCAGGTCTCTGAATGTTAAGTCAAATGCAATTGGAGAGGACTGCCTGCCTATAAAATTTATTAAGATTGTCTTGCCCTATATCATTAGTACTCTTACGCATGTCATTAACTATTGCATCACAACTTCTTGTTTCCCTGACGTGTGGAAAATTGCGTGTGTGCGACCGGTCGCAAAGAAATCATCTGCTAGTGATTCTAGTGATTTTCGACCTATTAGCAATTTGCCAACAATTTTTTAAGGTTTTTGAGTCATTACTAGCTGAGCAAATAAGCGTGCATGTTCATAAACACAATCTTATTTCTCCTTTTCAATCGGGGTTTAAGGCAAAACATAGTTGCTCAACGGCCATGCTCAAAGTAATTGATGATATTACGTTGCCGTTTGACAAAAAGCAGCTAACTTAGCTTTGTCTACTCGATTTTTTAAAAGCGTTTGACTCGGTAAACTATTCAGTATTATGTAATAAGCTTAAATGCTGATTTGGGTTTCATTAAAACTCATTAAAGCTTTTGGAGAGCTATCTTGCGGGCAGACATCAACGCGTTAGGGTTGGTACGAATACCTCGAAACTTGAAAAGCTGACGTCAGGAGTTCCCCGAGGGTCAATTTTAAGGCCTCTTTTATTTAGCTTATTTATCAATGACATATTTCGTGTTTGCCAGTTTTCAAGAATGCATGCTTATGCTGTAACCATGATCTATCTGCTATTGAGCAGTGGTCGGAGAGTAACGGTCTTTGCCTTAACTCTGGAAAGTCGTTTGTTTTGCCAATCGGCAAGAAGAAGCTTGACATAACAACAATACCCCAGATAGCTCTTGGAAATAAACCTTTAGTAAATGTAAATAAAATAACAAACCTGGGATTTGTCATTAATTCGAGCTTAAGTTGCAAGGACCATATAAATTCTGTTGTTTCCAAAACTTATGGTGCGCTAAGACACCATAAGACAAATAGGATAACCTCTGAACTACATAATACCTTACAATATTTACAATTTATAAGACCAAATATAAAATGTGCGAACCAAAACTTATTGTGCGAATAGATGAACGCCTAACTAATGTTCAAAGTAAATGCGCTTGCAGTGCGCAAAAACAATAAAGAAGGGTCAAAATGAATGACAAAAATCCAAGCAACAGGGCTCTCTCAGTAGTGCAAGTACATATCGATGGCTGAGTGGAAGATCGACCTATCTCGGCAGTCAGTCCGAAAACGACCTATCTCAGAAAACTTTTCAAGAGCGCCCTTCTTCAGAATTTGATTGATGAACGCCCTATTTCAGAATTTTATTTGAAAACCCCCTATTTCAGAATTTGGTTGAAAACGCCCTATCTTAGAATTCGGTTCAAAAACGACCTATCTCAAGCGAAAATACATTGAAAATGTGCTGGGATAGGGTATTTTTGCATCGGCAGTTGAGATAGGGCGTTTCTGAACCGAATTCTGAGACAGGGCGTTCTTAAATCAAATTCTGAAGTAGAGCGTTAATGAAAAATCTTCTGGGACAGGGCGTTTTCGAACTGGCTGCCGAGATAGGTCGATCTTCCACTCAGCCATCGATGGTTGAAAAACACGATGGCGGTGCTGTTTAGTTGCAGCTTTGTCATGCAGAAAATCGAATTTNCAGGGCGTTCTTAAATCAAATTCTGAAGTAGAGCGTTAATGAAAAATCTTCTGGGACAGGGCGTTTTCGAACTGGCTGCCGAGATAGGTCGATCTTCCACTCAGCCATCGATGGTTGAAAAACACGATGGCGGTGCTGTTTAGTTGCAGCTTTGTCATGCAGAAAATCGAATTTTTATGCACGCACATTGTATATGCTCTCGATTAGCGGAACATTAAAGACGACAATCAAAACAACGTACTGCTAGGTGTAATGCCGTTAACCCACTGAGGGCTTGTGTGCCTCACCATCGTACTTCTAATTATTCATCAAAATAAATGTTATTTAGACAGATTACAAGTGCAATTTTTATGCAATTAATGATTGCAGTCAAAAATTAATTGCAATCAAAAACTTATTGCAATCAATTTCTTCTAAATCATTGCAAATTTCAAATTTTTGTAATCAAAATATATGCAATCGATGTTATTTGCAATTAAACTAGATTGCAATATTACGTAAAATATGCGATTGTAATCCAATTTGATTGCAATTTTTTACAGCCTTGGTACATTGTTAAAAAATTTGTGAACACTAATACTGTAAGAGAAATTTATAAGAAATAAAAATGTAAAGGTATTTTTTAAGTTTATTTTTAAACAAAATTTGAGCTGTTAAAATTAACAGTAACAACACACTGTCGGATGTTGCCTTTAAACCTATTGGAGTTTACGTAGAAAAGTCTTAGCTACAGAATAAAACCAAAGTCAGATGCTGATTTCTGCTCCTTATATTTTTTTTTGTTTTTTGAGTTTAACACGCTTATACATAATAGTTTCACCTATATGTAAAAATGACCAGCTTTTTAATTAGATTTCACAGAAAGATTTTGAGAATGCAGCTCTGTAGCCCATTTAATTTAAGTATAAGAAAGTCACACTTAAAGTAGCTGGGACTTACGGTTGATTTTTGATTTTTTTTTTTGTTGAAGGTGTTGCTCATTTTCTTCATATCATCGAATTCACTTCGAATGGAAGAAAATGACTAACACCGTCAACAAAAAAATTTCAAAAATCAACGGTAAGTCCTGCTTCAAACTTGGACTTTGTGAGACTAAAAATGAATGGCTATAAAACTGCATACTCAGAATCTTTCTTTTCTTTTAATCAGAATCTTTCTTTTCTTTTCTTTTTTTTCTTTTAAAAAGCTCTAAATTTACCAGACGCCATACTGGATCCGCCATATTTAATTTTGCAATTCTGACAGCGGATTAGTAATTACTGACCCCGGAAACTCCCTAGTATGAAATTTCGAACCATTTTTTCAAAGCTTCGAATTTTGGCCGCACTTTTGGATTTCGGCCGCTCTGTGAGCCGGGGGAGGCACTTTCTCCATTAAGGGTCCCGACATTCGAGGTGCATGCCCTCAAATCGTAGTCCTCAAACGTTTGCCTCATTCGGCTTTGTTCCGCTTTTTCATTGGAAGGGATTTTTACGTAGCGCGTCCCAAACCCAGCGCACAACCCATTGCTGGGACGGGGGTAGTTTCGAAACCAAATACATGTTTATATAGCGAGCCGCTTGTTCCGAGACAGACGCCTGCTTGCAGCCGCACCTACTGGTTAACAGACGCTGCAGACTTCAGTGAGCCCTTAAACCGAATAAGTCGGAGTGTCCCCACCGAAGCTCGCACATGGGTTGCTCACTTTACGCAGAGTACGCGAACGCGGACGCAAAAGTCGGGATTGAGTATAGTCGTGAAACTGTAGCTGCATACCCAAAACAACGATATAGTCCATTGCACCCCATTTTATTTTTATGTATTTTTATTACTCCCATAACAAATGAACCATAAATGGTTACAAGAAATCAATTTCACGACTGCCGCACAATCTTTTCTATATTTGTTATTGCCATGATCGTTAAGAGGTAGAGTTGTGTACTTGCAGAGCCGGAAAGCACTCCTTTGCCGTTTATAGAGTTTTTCTTTAAATTACTTACTTACTTCATTATGCACAATTTCATTTATATCTACATAGTATGTGTGTATATATATACCCCTTACATACATGGATATCTATATCCAAATATACATCCTCCTCATATATGTACGTATGTATAGTAGACTGCATCACTCCCCATACAAAAAAAATCGGTACTATTTTTCCATTGGAATTATAAAATCTATTATATTTTAAGACGTCCACCAAAATATTTCGGAAAAATATTAAGATTTAAGTGAGCTGGACCGATTTGAAAATACCTCCAAAAATTTAAGTTTTTATGAATAAAAATAGTTTCTTAAAGATTTTTTTTGAAACAATCCCCTCAAATGACGAAACGGCTTAAGCTTAAAAAATTTGCATAAAAATATTAAAAAAACTAAAAAATTTTGAACGGAATCGTAATGATGAGATTTTTGATGCTTTTTTTAACTTTTTTTCAAAGATTGGTATAGGAAATACTTGAATAACTGAACCTAAACTCTTTCGATTTAGACTTAAGAGGTGTCATTGGAAGGGTATTTTCTCACCCTTTTTATTTCTTTGCTAATAAACTCATTCAAAGGATGGAAGAGAAAGGTAGGATGAACGAACGTCATTCAAAGTTGAATTAAGATGTGTTGGTATTAGAAAAAACAAGATGGGACACGAATGACGTTTTTTTGGCCAGAAATAAGAACAGTGTGAAAATACTTTTCTACTGAGATCCCATAAGTCTAATTCAGAACATTTTTGGCCCAGTTATTCAAGTTTTTCGTAAACCAATCTTTGAAAAGAGTAAAAAAAAACAGCATCAAAAATCTCATTCTTACGATTCAGTTGAAAAGATTTTCAAATATTTGTATGCAGGTTTTTTAAGCTTAATCTAGTTTGTCATCTGAGGGGACTTTTTTCAAAAAGTTCTTTAAGAAACTATTTTTATTCATAAAAAACTTCATTTTTGGAGCTATTTTCAAATCGGTCCAGCTCGCTTAAATCTTAATATTTTTCCGAAATATTTTAGTGGACGTCTTAAAACAAAATAAATTTTGTTCCCGGCGGAAAAACCGCAACTTCTTTTGGTGATGCAGTCTAATGTATAGTGTTAATGTCATTGCAGCAAAATGCTCCACCTTACACAAACACGAGTAATCAGATGGTTCTATCTAACATTGTTGCTTCTGCTACTATGCTGGAACAGCTTGATCGAATGCCGAAAGCAACACACGCACACTAATGAAGCTGACCGTGAACTCACGAGTTTTGAAGAAGATGGTGGTGGTGGAGGCGGAGGTAATATCGGAAATGGCCATCGTCGAGGGCATCGTAAAAAACATCATCATCGTCAGCATCACGAGGACAATCAGCTCTCATTGTGGATCAATGAGCAACAGTTGAATATGTTAAGTGGTAATGTATTTCTAGGGGGGAGTCTCCGCCACATGCTCAGTCGAGTGAAATGGAAGAGACTCCCCCGTGAACTCTTTTTGATTTCCAAAAAACCGATCTGATTTTCAAGTTTAAAGCACTTTTCTTTCCACAAGGCTTTGCGCATGGTCGCATATATGCCATCGAAAATGGTGAAGTTCTGAACGATTTGAGGGAAATTAACATCTATAAATACTTGATTATACCCGCCGAAGTAAATTACGTGAATTTCACGTGGAAGTCGGGTAGCAGAAAATATTTTTACCATTTCGATCGGTTGCAAACGCTGGACGATAATATTCTAAGAGCTCCTACGTTATCGATTAAAACGAAAGGACGAATACCGGCAGAAGAAAAAAGTAAGCACTCATAATATATTTTTTCACAATATATAGCAATCGAACTCTGCTATTTTACGCCAAATACAGCACCTACAAAACTTATGTGTACATGCATAAATCAGCCGCTTTACTGATCGAAGCAGTATTACATCGAATTCAGATAAGCGGGAAGTCGTACTGCATGTCCTGAAATTTTCTTATTTAACCCTAGAGTGCTCGCGCCATGAGCATTTTGCCGCCCAGGGCAAAAAACTGCAAGCTATTTTTCAAACAACAAAGTTGTAAAGATCAAGCGTTGTTATATACAACAGTAAAACTTTAATAAATGTTGCTCTTTCGCTTAGTTTATATCTCATTCTGGCTTAGTAAAATAATTTTAAATTCATTTAACTATTAATTTCAACACAACAGCTTTTTAAATATGGCCGGCAAAATGCTCCCCACGCGATCACTCGCGCTTCACGAAAGGGCGCGACTACTCTAGGGTTAAGGAATATTAAATTAAGCTTTTGATACATTTTAAAACAACTTAAAAAATTCCTAAATGCTATGTCTCTGTTATTTCCGTGTTAATTCCACTTGGTTTTGGGGTCTTTTATTCTCACATGTTTCTTCAAGATGCCGAGAAATTTTAAAGGGTGCTTAGATCGGGGAAGATAATTATGTAACCTACTTGTGAATGTTGCCTTGCAAACTTAAATTTAAGCATTCTCTATTGATTGTTGATATGTACTTATGTATGTATGTACGTCTTAAAAATGCACTAGTTTTGTCCAATAACGGTTATGATTCTCTTTGCAGATTTCAGTATTTTCCTGCCTTGTGCCGGTAATAACTCAGGTACGGCCATGTTCAATATCGGCTTGTCCATACAAAATCGTCGGGGGAAGCCGTTGCCTGGCACACCAATACGCTTAAATTTTAAAAAGGAATGCGCACATAGAGGTAACGCTACCATCTCTACACTAACATCTCCGCAAGGTAGTGTATAAAAAAATGCTTCCTTTACAAACTTGCATACATACATACAAACTATACAAGACATTGGCCTCTAACATACTTCTTGCGAAATTTGCTTTTCTCAATACCACAGTGGGAGTAAATAGAAAATTAGAATCCGACCGATTGTTCAGCTTCGGCTTCGGTTTGCCGATTAATCGGCAATATTTTCATATTCGGCTATATTGGCTTCGGCAAAAAAAAAAAAAAAAAAATTACCGAAGTTTTTGCCGAAGCCGAAACTTTTTGCTATCTGTATACATTTATTGCAAATAATCTGTTTCAGCTGAGAACTTTGGGATTTGAAATTGTGATTAAGGTTTATATGTACATATTACAGGTGCTGATATTTTTCAATATTTGAATACTAGCTCCCTAGAGTTACTTAAGCAGGTGCTGAAAATTATCTGTCAGTGGTCAGAGAACAAACTCACTTGGCGAGAACGCAAACTAATGGCGGCCGCTGTGGCTCACTGGTTAGGGGTGAGTGCTAAGGGCCTGGTCTGTACACCTTCTAGATTAGAAAAAAAAACTGCGGTCGCCCCTCGGCAGGCTATAACAAACCCCCGAGTGTATTTCTGCAATGAATAGGCTTCTAATTAGGGATGTGCCGGGTATCCGGTTGATATCCGGAATCCGGCCGTTTTTCTGCTATCCGAATATATGGCTGGATACTGGCTGAAATCCGGCTGGGTTTCTAGATTTCGGTTATACAAGATTCAATTTAAAAATCTAGTTAATTTTTTTTGTATTGTTGTAATCGAATTACATAAATAGTATCTAATTTGTAATTTAAGTTAAAATATTGTATATTTTTCATTATTAAAAGAATAATTTCCGAATTATCGGGCAACAAACTATTCCTATGTATTTTCCACATAAATACTACCCGATGTACTCTTTCTTAAAGTGTGTTTGCATTGTTCAACTTTGCGTTCAACATTTGCGTACAACCCAGCGCAGGGTTGCATGAAAAAAAGTTCAATGGCTAAAAATATCAAAACATGAAAAAATATCAAAACATTCGCCATAAAAAGGTGTTTGCATTGTACAACTTTGCACTCAACTTTTGGCCTTTCACCTAATAGCTTTCAACAAAGTTGGTCGCCAACCAACATTTAGCCATTTAACTTTTCGTTCTGAGATATTCTGAGTTTAAATAGCGGCAAATCAGCTGCACTTGATAGTAGTTGGTTGAATAAGGAAAATGAATTAGCAACAAGAGTTTACGGGATGTACATAGCTCAGTGGTTAACGCTTCTGACTTTGAACATCGAATTCGCAGGTTCGATCCCTGCTGAAGTCTAGAAAAAAGAAGTCTGATGGGGAGATGTGGTGATCTCCGAAATAGCTGCTATAATAACTTCTACCGCTTAGACTTTGTTGCTTTTTCAATTTTTCCTAATACATAATCGTGGTACAAAGCTCAATAAAAAATATAAAAAATAAAAAATGTTAATAAGCCACAATAACATTGACAAATATATGTAATTTTGTTTTTTTTTCAATACCACACTCAACCAAGGCATATTCAACAAGGTAGAAGTCAAGAATGATAGAATACAAGATTGCGCCGATCAGAGAGGATTTTGAGAATAACTTTTGAGTGACGTCACACTGGTGCAATTGCGAGAGAGAAATGCCAAAACGTGAGCAAGAATGGAAGAAGAAGAAAAAATGTTGCAAGGAAAACGTAAACAAGTTGCACAAGTGTGACGTCATGCAAACAACGATTCTGTCAAATTCGTTAAGAGAGGAATAGCGGCCCGAGATCGGCGCAACCAAGGCATAACAAGGTAGAAGTGATTTTGACATTTCTCTCTTTTGAACTGCTACTGAAATGTCAACTCTTAACCCTATACTATTCAAAATTTTTTTTGTATATAAATTTTCAATTGTGAGCTGTACGACTGATTTTAAATACATAATAAAATGAAAAGGAATTGCGAGCGGTGCGTTGTGTTTGTCAAGAGCCTGGACAACAAACTTGTGCGTTATTTTAAACCTTCGAATTGTCAAGTGAAGCGACAACGTTGGGCAAATCGCTGCGATGTTTCACTAGGAGACTCTTCACGTGTGGTCGTGACTTAATTTGTTGCCTATCGCAGCCGAGTATATATACATGGATAGGCGAAATTTCAAATGGTGGTCTGATAAAACCTAAACCAATATTCCTTGTTGACATAAAGAAACTGAAAGTAATTTTTAATAAATTTAATGGAAAGGAAATTTCGAATAGCAAAAATTTAGTACCTAAATTATTGAAGTTGAGTTCTGGTGTAAATTTAGAAGAATCAAACTTCTTTTAATGTCTAATATACTTCAGAATTAAGTATTTGAATAAAAAAATAAATGCTCAAAAACATTGGGATAGTAAAAGCAAGAAAATTGTCAAAACGGTTTTATAAATGAGTGTGTTTCATTTAGTATGTAATTTTGTGTAAGTATGCATTTCCACATTTACATTAAACCGAAAATTCAATAAATAAAATGAAGCTGATTCTAATGATATTTTAAATATTTTCATATTTACAAAAACTTTCATTTCAAAGATGTTGAGTTCTATCAAATATGGTAAATGCATAACAAAGGGTTAATTTCTTTGTTTACATTTTTTGACATTACAGTCAGGTATGAGAGAGCTCGACTGAATTGTCGATACTGGACGGACTTACGTGTTGTGATGGGTTGGAACTTGTTACCAGGGAGTTTCTGGGGTTGCTAATTAGGAATCTGAAGTCAGTTTTTCAAAATTCAAAATGGAGGATCCAAAATGGCGATCCATTTAAAAAAAAAGGTTTGATTTGTTCGAGAACCGGTACTCGAGAGTTTTTGGGGTCGCCGATTACGAATCTGAAGTCAATTTTTTTAAATTCAAACGGGCGGATGTATGTATGATTGTGCAAAAAAGAGAAATGAGTTTAAACAAGAAATTAAAATGTCTTCAAAATATTCCGTTAGAAACATAATTAGCTCAATTACAGTAATTAATTTGACATTTTTGTACACTTTGGTAATAACCAGGGCCGTAAAGTTTAAGCTTTTGCTTGGAATTGCTTATTTTGCTTATTCAGGGTTTCCAAGCTTAATTTCAACGATCATGCTCATTTTGCTTATTTCAATGTATAAAGCTCTAAGTACTGAGCTATTGAGAAAACGCTCAAGAAATAAATTGCTATTATTTCATTTGTATGAATAGTAGTGTCCAAGGAGTTAAGACATCCGATATTTTACAGCCTGCTGTCTCACTTTTTCCTTCCGAAAAAATTTAACGGGCATATATTTCTATTGAAAACAAGAGCACCTTGTATTCTTCCCAAACAAACTATAGCAAGCCATAGTAGAAAGCGTACCAAGTTTCTTAAGGACTTCGTACTTCTTAAGAAAATTTGGATCAATAAATTTTTCTTGGCCATTTCTTTGGCGTTTTTTTATTCGTAGAAATGTTTACAAATAATAACATAAAAAAAATTTGGTTTTTATTAACCCGTAACTTCAATTCCATTTCTGCTTGGGTACAAACATTTTGAACCAATGGTTTGTCTTTACGGGAAGGCATTGGTGTTATTGAAAAGATTAAAAACAATTTATCTCAAATGAAGAATAACAAATATTAAAAAAAAAAAACATTAAAACGATCAGCGCAGATCTCTATTAAGTATTTGAGAATATCAAGCAACATTTGATTGTCCATTGTAATTTTTCAATCCTTGAAATATACTGCATAAAAAACATTAAACTGTAACTAAATGTTTTTGTTTTTCGAACATATTTGCAAGCATATTTACCTATGTTTTAGTGCTTATATAAGCGCGAAAAATATCGATGTACATTTCGATGCATCGAATCAAAGAATTACATCGATTTATTTTTGCCACTGACATCCCTAGTGCGAACTGATGTCAGAAAATAAGCAAGCTTTGAAACAGGGGTCACAAAATATTGCAACAATGAAGCGTTGAGGGACGATACGGGAGCGGGACGTAAGCATTTTTTAATAAAAAATACATCAACCACGCGTTTTTACTTAGCGGCGTTAATTGTTTGTGACGTTTCTTCTCTATTTACCAAAAATAATCAATAAATTAGGGTTGCAAATGGAAAAGTTATCTTCTTTCAGGGGAGAAATTTTGTAATCTTAATAACGTATTGGATAGTTCAGCTCGAAAAAGCAGATAATCTGGTCATAAGTATGTCGCTAAACAAAAAAAAACATATAATAATGTTGTGAAGTTTATAAAGGGATATCCGAATCCGGCTCTTATTTTTTACATGGTATCCGGAATCCGGTTACCCGGCTCGGCCAAACACTTAGCAAAAGTCTAAGCGCCAAAATATTATTATCTTAAAAAGGCCAGATGGAGCTTATTCCTAAAAAAATCGATTTACTTAATTTTAAAGAAAATCATCGAGATCGGTAATCGACCGAATTTTAGATCAAAAACGAACGTTCGGTTCAGCTTCGGACGAAAAATCTACCTTCGGTCGTACTCTATAGAAAATACCTAGGGAGTATATCGACGTCTGAGGTCGACCTATCTCGGCAGCCAGTTCGAAAACGCCCTATCTCAGAAAACTGTTCACGAATGCCCTATTTCAGAACTTGGTTTAAGAACGCAGTATTTCAGAATTCGGTTCAAAAATGCCCTATGTCGACATATTTTCAATATATTTTAAGTTGAGACAGGTCATTTTTCAATAAAATTCTGAAATAGGCCGTTCTTCAACCGAATTCTGAAGCGGGGCGTTCTTGAAAAGTTTTCTGAGATAGGGCGTTTCGAACTGCTGCCGAGATAGGTCGGTCTTCCACGAAATTTAATACTCCTGCGTGAAATGGAAGTTCGAAGACCCCATTGTACTCGACGTTACATATAATGGTACCTAGCACGGAACCATGTGGTACGTGCGCTGTAGGGATGTTCAAATAAGATCGTGTTTCCAAAACTCGGTTTTTTTATTTGGGCAAAGATCTTTTTCCGTCT